CCGCTCTTCAAATTTATAATCTCTGCCGTTGAAGAGTGGCTTTCAAGGAAGGTCACTGGCCCGGTACGAATGAGCTGCCTGTCCAGGAAAGCATTTACGTAAGTAACACAGCTCCTAACGTGCTTCAAAACGCCAAGGCTCTAACAGCCCCCTTCAGAGAAACAGGTTACATGGAAATGGCAAAACCAAGAAGTTACTTCCAACAGTGTCTGCAATCTGTTCCAGAAAAATGACTTAAATGTGCTCAGGGAACTACGGAAAAAGGCACACGCGTTGCAGACCACTCTGGTGGCCCCTCACGCCGCTGCAAGAGAACGCAACTGAGGAGGGAGCCCCGTGACCCACCTCCAGATGGGGTTTCTGTAGCGCTACCTACAGAAATCCTTGTGCGCTCTAATATTTAACACCCGCTTCAGACCCAAGCTGGAAAGAGATTACTTTTAGCTGCTGCTTCTTCTTTCAAGCTGCTCATTCAAAACCCGGTCTGTGACATTCAGCTCGTGACCACCCTCCGCAAGACTTCAGAAAGTCACTCGGAGAGATTCCGAGAAATACCGTTCTCGGTACGTCGCTCAATACTTGGTTCTGCAGCTCAGAAATCCGGCCCTGTTTGTACAAAGAGCCGCACGTGCTCAAGGCCAGACAATCCATTCCCTCAAGTGTACGCCGTGGGCCGCTGAGACCACTAGACTCCAGCCAACGATTTCATTGGCACGGGGGCAAAAAAACATTTTTCTAAATAAACACGCAAATATGCCAACAGGTCTGACCCATGTTTGCAGACGCCAAGAATAGCTCCAAAAACGCACGCGCTAGAAAGACAAGGGGATGGTGTACGCAGGGTGGCAGACGGAGGGTTTACCACCAAGGAAAGCCTGGACCAGAGGAGCTGGCCTAAGTCACGTAAGAGTCTTGTTTTCCTGCGGTCACTCAGCCATGCCATTTATCAGCCCTTGGGGTAGGTGCAGCCAGCATCCAAGGGCAAAACTTTCCCCTGGCCTCACAGATCCCCTCTCCCTCCCGTCCTTCCTCCCCACGACTCCTGTATTGAAACAGAGATCAAAGCTTGCGCAGAGGAGGAGTAGAAAGACCGGAGTCTGTGATTTCCCCGACCTAAACGAGGGAAACCGCTCCAGGTAACGCCTGCCAGAGAAAAGGAGAGAAACGCACAAATAAGATGTGCACAGGAGCCCTCCCGTGCCTTTCAAACACAGCCGGCCGCGGGACCGACAGCCGACCAAAAGTCCAAAAGCCTCCTGACAGTGGCGGGTGTCAGCTGCCTAATGCCACCAGAAGAGTTGTTTGTGATTAACGGAAGCCCATTTATGATTTTAACAAGGTGAGGAGCTGCCCGACAGCTACGATTAGCTCCTCAGGAAGCAAGAGGCTCGCAGCGTGCTTTCAACACTTGGACAAACACCGGTTCCACAGAAACCCCCCGTTTATTTCCATCAAGCTGCTGAACAAGCTGTTAGGCCAAGCCAGCCCCCGCCGCCCCGTCTCCCCGTGGGCACACACAACCCAGAGATGGCGGGTTTCAGCCAGATGCTCGCGAAAGCGCACAGGGAGCAAACGCCGGGGCGCGGGGGGGGACATGTCCCCAGCCCCCTTCCCTCCACGG